GGTCTTGCATTTCAGTGGTGAAGGCATCCACCAGGGACTTAGCAAGTTGCTTGGTGTAGACAGCGGCAAGCATGGCATTTCCTCCCATGCATTCTTCATGCTCATGAAGACCATTGCACTTGTGAGTGACACTCGCAAGCAAGGCTGGGTTATTGCTCAGCCATCCGGTGGGTTTGCAAATCAGACCACCGTTGCGTCCACGAAGACCGTAGGCGCACATGTTACCATAGCCGTAGTAGAGCTCAAAGTCGTTGAAGAGCTTGAGCATTGCAGGTTGATTCCAAAACTGCCCGTTGTGGGGATTCTCCAAAAGGAAGAAGCGGTCTGCTGCGATGATGTCGCGGATCATGTTGGCAACACCTTCAACAGTGACTTGTGCTTCTTCTCGATGTTGTTCAAGTTCTTCCGGTCGCCAGTAATGCCAGTAGTAGTTGAGTCCAGTCAAAGGTGACCAGAGTCGGCATTCAGGCTCCAGAACCGGTAGCAGAGGTCGCCATCGATGGAGCCGGCTTTGCTGTCGAGACTGATTCCATGAATCTTGTCCACTGGCTGCAAACATCGAAGTCCTCGCGACAGAGCCTCCTCAGTGATGTTGCAGTGGCCGCCATAGATCTCAATGAGGTCAACCTCGGAGGTGTGACGGAGTTTCCGTGCGGCCTGAATGACATTGTCATAGATCTGCAACTCAGTGAGCCATAGTTGACGAAGTTGGCGAACCGTGTGAAGTAGTCTCTTGCGGCGTCCAGGTTTGAGAAGCTGGAAACCGCGGTCCTCAAAGGTCAAAGGTCGGTCGGCCGACCCAGACAGCTGTGGTTTCAAAGAGCCAAGAGCCGAACCGTCCAGGGACATCTGTTCCTGGCCGATGTCCGGGAAGTTCTCCTGGTCGTTCTCGTAGTCCTCGTGCTGCTCCTTGATCTCCTCGGTCCAGTCGTAGGGCTGGTCCCATGGTTGTTCCAGTATGTTCCAGTCCTGGTTCCATTGCGAGCCAACCTGATCCCAACTCGCTGTTGAACCGTTGTCCAAAGGAATCTCCGGCACTGACATCGCCCTAGTCGAGGGCATAGGGGCCTTCGCCTTGGCCATCTGCTCCAAGCGGTGCTGAACCTGCGCCTCCACTTGTGGACCAATCTCCTGAAGTCGACGTTGCACCTGGTCCTCGACTTGCTGTTGCAGAAGTTGCTGATGAGTCCAGCTGAGGTGGTTCCGAGAAGTAGCCCTGAGAGAAAGGCAAGAAAGGTCCCGAGCCAGAACGTTGCTGTCCTGAGGAACCAGTTGACTCTTGATGCTTTGCCGGCGGCTTTGCTTTTGTTGTGTTGTGAGACGCGCTCCGGCAATTGTAGAGGGGTTCGAGCACGACGACTTGCTTTGGGCTGCACTCGGATCATCTGACCCTTGTGGATCACTGCTCTGAAACCGCACTGGTCGCAGATGCGAACGCTCTGGCCTCCCGCCCCGTAAGCTCGAAGACCTGAGGGGTGTTCGCACTCCGTTGGATCTCTCGGGTAGGTCAGGGTCTGCGTGTTGGCCTGCGCTGCCATTGCCGCCATCGAGGTCTGCATGGTCGCCGCCGTGCAAGGAGCCATGAAGTTCTTGATAATGTCGTCGCGCAGGTGTGGCTTCAAGTGGACCAGCAGCTGACGCCAGCGCCTCAGCCATGAAGGAGGAGCGGGCATCTCCGGGCGGTGTCACAGCAGGGTGTCTTGCACTCGGAAGTGGTCGAGCTGAGCATACGTGGGCCTGGTGCTGTGTGACATGTGGGCATTCTCGAAGCCAGTGGTCTGAGGCTCCGCAGCCCAAGCAAAGGCTGGCCTGCGCGCGCAGTCTCTGATTGGGGTTCATCTTCGCAGGCGAAGAAGAGGATGTAGTTCCCTTCTTGCCAAAGCCCTTGTCCTTGCCAGCGCCTTTTCCATGGCCTTTGCCCTTGCCTTTGTCTTTGGCAGTGGTGTAGTAGCCCCTTGACTGCATGGTTGCAGCCAGGCGCTTGCTCGTGGCCGTCATGGCCTGGTGCTCATCGCCACCGTCATCGCCGGCCTCATACTCAGGGAGTTCATCGGGCTCGAACTCCTCACCAGCGGCTGCATCATCAGCCTGCTCATCATAGTCCGCGAACTGGAAATCGAAGGTGTCGTCGTTCAGGTCCTCGTCAAACTGCTGGACCTCATCGCCGGCAGTCGTGAAGACCTCTTCAACTGGGTCATCCTCAGCTGCCATGGCCTCAGTGTGCCATGTCTTCCAGCGGAAGCTTCCGCCTCTTCCACGTCCTCGTGGCTGATGTCCTCGGCCGCGATGTCGTGCTGAGGAAACATGTACAGGAACTGGGTGTCTGGACATTCCCGTCAGCGTCAAACCAGCGGGGTACTGGATATGAATCGCTTCTTGCCGGCAGCTAGGAGCAGCTGTGAAGTGGCCCTCTCATCGAGCCGTAGCCCATCAAGGAGCTTGACCGCTCGAGTCTCGTCCGGGTAGGGCGGAACCTGAGCATCCTTGAGCTTGCGCTCATAGAGGCGGAATCGCCTGAGAAAGGTGCAGACAGATTCTCCTTGAACCCTTGTCAGGGACTCGTATTCGCGGATCAGTCCTCCGCGTCTGAACAGCTCGCGTTCACCGAAGCTGATTTCGAGGTCGTCGAGGAGCTGCTGGATTCCATTGTCCTTGTTGTAGCGCTCGTCGTCCACTTCTTCGAGCTCCAAGGCGGCTTCGAAGCGGCTTCGCCAGTGAGCGCATCAAGCGCTCTCAAAGCTTGCTCGTTCGCCGGCAGGAATTCTTTCGTGATCGTCGTCCACCGTCGTAGTGCACGACGGTAGTGTCGCAAGCAGTAGGGCTCGTCCTCCACATTGCCTGCGAAGGTGGGAGGCGCAGGGATGTGCCCTGACCTCCATTTGCGAGAGCTCGGACCAGCTTGGCCTTGTTGCGAAGATCGTGAGCCTCTCGCTGCTGAAGAGGCCGGGCTGCCGTTCGGACCCACAGGCCGGGCTGGTCCTCCACCATCATCCAGGTCGTCGAAGTCGTAGACCTGGTCACCATCATCATCATCCTCCTCCATGGGATCAGCTGGGATCGCGCCATCATCGAAGGCGGCGTCTCCAAACTCAGCCGCGCCATCAAAGTCTTCGTAGAGCTCATCGAAGAACATCAGGCAGCGAACCTGAGGAGCAGCGGCGCTGACCTTTGCCGCGCTACCAATGCGATAATCGGCTCGACGACGGAGCCTGGCCCCTGGATCTACAGCGCTTGCTTCTCAAGTTCGCTTTTCCCCAAAAGCGTCGATGACGTCATGTGCCCACCCTTCTAGTGCATTGGAGGTTAAATGGCAACAGAGTCATGGCATGAAGTGGCTTGACTGAACATGAAATCTCAATGTGTGCATATGTTTAAAAAAGATGGTATGAAGACCAGTTGCAAGCCAAATGATGGTTTAAAGACCTGCGCCCATAGCAGCGCCCACAAGCCCGCTGCAGTGGCAAGGACTGCTTTGAGATAGCCGTTGATACTGGCACGGTTTCGTGGAAAGGACACTGAGCAGGTCATGCAAACAATGTTGTCCATCAGGCTGACGCTGGAATATCCCATCAAAAGAGCTGCAACTGCTGCGATGCAAAGTTTCCTAAGCTAAAGACCCTGCCATGCTGCATTTGCAATGTGACGCATCATGAAGCAATTCAGGCTTGAGCGGCTTAACAAAAAACCTACTTGTTATATACTTCAACCAGAGAATATAGACTATAGACTATAGTTCTTTTGCGCCAAGCCTCACATTGGTGCCCATCTCCGCAACAGAAGCCATCCCGAGGAGGCAATATCCGATGGTCAGACAGCAGGAACCGAGGCAAAGGCACACTTTGGGGCCATAAGTATCGAAGAGGATACCACCGAGAAACCCGGCCGAAATTCCCACAAAGATCATAGCACCTATGACAGTCGCACCAGTCATGCTGATGCCCAACCTGTCTCGAAGTTCGTCTTGCCAGGCACCCATTGCATAGATCGAGCCAGAGACCACCTTGACTCGACTGCAAGCAAGAAAAAGCATTAGCAGATCGATGCTCTCATCATATGGAGAGATAGGTAGATCCTACAAGTGAACTGCCTAATATAAACGCTAAAGAATTCCAAGGCACCTGAACCATGGCACTCATAACAATCAACCACCATCGGTCTGAGGATCTGTAGGACGCCTCTGTTGCCTCAATCTTCCGTGTGGTGTCAAAGGAGACTTCCCATATAGCAAATAGCAGGGCAGCGGTGGCCATCCCGAGAAAGGTGCCTGGAGTCAACCGATGCCTGCGAATCGCCACCACCAGGGTCTCCAACTCACTCAGCGGGTGCTTCGTTGCAGTATCTTGGCCTGAGTGGTTGAAAGCAAGAGAATCCCTGATAGGTCACCGCGTGAGCTATCCTGCGTCCATGTGTAGTAGCTTACTTGTAAGTACCAACGATTCCCTTTAGCTTCTACTAGCTACCTACCTCTAGCTAACCTACCTCTGCTCGCGGCCAACCCCCCGCTTGTTTTAATCCTTCTAATACAGCAGCATAATTGGTGCTCTGTTACGACTATGCTGATGCATCGGACCGTTCCTCCATAACTCCCACGTCTCACAGGCTCACCAGTCACAGCGCGTGAAAACCCTACGAAGTCCAATGCCAAGCTACCCTTGAGGTCCTTGAGGTGTGCTGTCTGTAGAAATGCAGCATCTTCACAAACGTCAGTCTGGTTCCTCAGATCTGCACCTGCACAAGTCACGGAAAACGCGCATAAGCACACAAGCAGCAAAGCTTGAGTGCAAATCACTCGGCCACAATACATGGCGCGAATATGGAGGAGATGTTGGTGCGGTTGGCAGGACGCATCCCACCCACTGTTTGAGCCAATGTGCAAGCACTCCCAGTACTCATAAGCAGGTACTCCCAGCACACTGGCCAGCCACCCATTGGACATACAACTCGGCGATACTTGGCATAAAATGTCGACTCCACGTCAAGCTTTGAACCAAGCGAAGCACCTCTGAGATGCAAGTAGCACTTGGCCTTGGAAAGTGTCATCTGGCGTCCCATGGATCACCCTGATTCTGACGAAGCCATTGAGTTTCCAGCATGAGTGTTTGGGTCATGTAGCTCAAGAGGTGCAACCTCGGCAAGCGAACTTGAAGCGCATCCACACTGCTCACCCTCGGCATGTGAACTCATACATGTCCCCGTCCACAGTATCTGAACTCCAACGTACTAGTATGTCAGGTCTCCGGCGTGGCCCTCCAAGGGGGTGAAGATCGCAGCAAGGCCTAAGCATCTTGAGCCTTCGCTGCTCCACCATTGCTGGGGCTCTCTATCTCTCTCTCTCACACTCACTCACTCACTCACTGTCTGTCTGTATGTCTTTCTTTCTTTCTCTTTCTCTTTATCGGTTTCTTTCTCATTCTCTCTCTCTCTCTCTCTCTTTTCTGTTCTTTCTTTCTTTCTGTCCCTCTCCCTAGCGATGTTCAATGATTTTCAGATGTCACACATTCCCGCACTTCACAATAAACATTTCTCGCGCCACTGGTTGTTCAAGCAATCATTGACCCCCAGATTGCTTTTCCAGTTTATTCCAGTTTGCCTCGAGTCTTATATAAAACTTTCCAGATCCCGGAACCGTTTCATACAGCAAGGGTCCGGCGTCCTTTGCTAATTAATAGCCACCATCTTCTGACAACCTTTCTGACTGCAATGCTGTTGTGAGGCATAGCCTGTGCCCATTCCAGAGCAGGGAAGAAATCATAAGAAAGCTGAGTTTGCTCTGAGAGAGGAGCATCAGCAGTGACAGTTGTGTTTTTGTCCGTTGTTGTCAGTCAGTTGCCCTTTCTAGCATATTCAGACCCCATCAACCCCTCTGTTGTCAAAGGTGCCGGACAAATGTGTGTCAGTGTGCACAGGCATCAACGTGCAAGAGGTTGGAACTTGTAGACCCTCCCTTGACTGGAACTGAGGTTGGAATTGAGGTGGCGCTAGGGAGCCGGCCCCAAAGACCACGACATTTGGAGAATACCGATTTGCAATCTCATCTCAGCTGGCATGCAATGGCATCATTGAACCTCTTGGTCTGCCTTCAGTTTTGGGCTGAGGTGGCCACCAAAGACTTGCAACGCCAGCTCCCAGCTGTCTCCTGACAGGCAGGTTGGCATGGAAAGGTCTCCTGGTCGGCTGCCCTGCATCTCAGCCTCTTTCGCAGGCACTGGCCAGAACACTCCAGACCACTGCATCCAGCGACCCAGAGTGGCCTTGTTGATGGAACACCAACATGAATGGCTGGATGTGTCTTCTTTGGGTTTCTATGTAGATATTGATTGCTTCTCCTCTTCCGAACGGCAATGGTGCGATTAAGCGTTTTTTTAAAAATGCACCTATAGACCTAGAAAATCCAAGCCCGCTAGCGTGCTGAGCAACAAGCTGAAGGCCAAGGCCATCGCCCTGGACAAGCAGAGATGTTGATCGTTTGTAGGTCTGTGTGCAAGCCATAGGCCAGCCCTCAAGTGCCGCAAATATGAAGTTCTTGGACAAGACAGTTCTTGGCTTGTTTGTGAGACAAGTCTTCCACATGCTCAATGTTCTGAAACATGGCTCCGTCACAGGAGGAGGAGGAGGACTCCGCTCCACCACCACCACGCCTCTGCCATTCGGTGGCTTGCACACAAGCACTCATCGCCTCAAGGCGGGGCTCTGCCCCAACCTACTAGTTATATAAGTTCATGGGCGCAAATAGCATGTATAAATACATACCATACATACTTTTTACAAACTAGAGAGACTGTAGAAGGGAATTCAAAAACTTGTGTGCCATACAGTCCCACCGTCCCACAGACCTTATAAAATCATCTCTCAGTGTTGCTATTTCATGCTATTTCCGAGTTCAACTGCTGGAACCGGGTTCACCATCCGCGGCTGGACTCTGAGCTCTTCGGCCGAACTCAAGGCCACTGGATCGGTTGAAGCCGGCGAAGCCATGCGCTCGAGGAATAGCAGTGCCGCCTCCCACTTCCTTGCACGCTCGCCTCAACTGAAGCTCAGGCAATTAGCGGGTTGTATAAGCGATGCCGAACTTCTCGTGGCTTCAGCTTCAGGAAATTTTAAGAATAGCTGGCAAAGGTGCTCCTACTTCCCTGGTCGAAAACAACTTTTGGTTCTTGGATGTTCTTGGTGTTTGTGTCTGTGCGTCTTCTTCCCCGCTTGGACTGCTGGGAGAAACCTCAATACTTTGCCGCCAAGCTTCAGGCTGAGATCAGGGACGTCATCACCACAGGAAGCGCGAAGGCATCGAAGGAATCCACGAGCGCGAGGCAAATCTGCGATTCGGTGCTGGGCAAGGTGGGGAGCCAAACGCCCAAATCAGTGTCCTCTACCCTCCCTATAGCTCACAAAACCCACACCACGAGCCAATTCTGCCGTGCCCTGCCTGCCAGCGCGCGCCGCATGCCTTGAGAGTGGAAGACAATAGGAATTCGCTCTGTGCCAAGGTCTGCTCCACAGAGCCGAGCATCTGCAAAGCCCTCAGCCAATGCCTTCCTTCTTTGCAAGCCGTGATCGCCAGCTTAAAGGACGAATCACTCAAACCAGGGCCTGAAGCGCTTTGCCCAAACTGTTCGAGTACCCAAACTGACCACTGCCATTCACCAGCTTGTTGGCAAGCTGCTGCTACTGCATTGCAGAGCTCTTTGTCTGTCCCTTCTGTGCCGTCCACATCTGTCCCGTGTGAGATGAGTTTCAAAGGCCACCTCCACTGACCGGCACGGCCGCAAGATCTCACGACGAAGGAGAAGGTGGACGAAGTGGGCGAAAAGCCTTGAAGCTTCATGACCTCCAAAAGCCCAATCGCTTCCTCCCAGTGTTTGGAGTGCATGAGCGCGTGGAAGCCGGGCAAGCACCGACCATATCCTTCCCTCTGCATGGCATCAGCCAGAAACAGTTGATGCTGCCAGGCCCTGGCCAATTCACAGCTGCTGAGGGCCTGAACAAAAGCTTCTTGCCCATTGAGATGCACATCGTGATCTCGGAACCACGGCAAAGGCGAAACAGGGTTGTGTCGTCGGTGGAGTCGTGTCCAGGGTGGTGTCAGAAGTCTCGTGGGCTGAAGGCGCCTCCATGCATCAAGCATCCCGAAGTCACCATGACAGAGTTCAAGCCAAGTCGGTCTTCAGAAGGTGCCATGGCGACTTCACAAGGATGATCCAGGTCCATCCAGGTCGGCAAGTTTGATGTGCTGCTTTGAGTTATAATAATGCTATATAGACGCAGAAGCATGCTTGGCTCCCGGCACCTGCTTGTTTCACTGATTCGAACGAAGCGAAGTCAAGTGAAGCTCTCATCGCCGGAATGAGGCCCAAAACAACCGCTAAGTTTTAGTGCAAGTAAAAACGGGAAGTGCAAGTAAAAAAACGTACATATGCCAATTTATCTATTTACAACATTACATTGTAACTATATGTCTACTGATTCATCTAAATTTATGCTTTTTGTGCTCAGTTCCAATGCATTTGGTGCTAAGTTCACACGAAGCCAAACATCTTCAACCCTCGGCGTGCCACAGAAGGCCGGTGGCATAGCGGCTGCAAAGTTCTTGTCCATCAGGGATTCCAAAGAGCAGGCTCATTGGAGGAGGCGGCGGCGGCCACACTCATATCACTACCATAATGCATACTGACACAAAATTTGGTTCTTCCTCTCTCTCCCTCTCTCTCTCTCTCTCACCCTCCCTCCCTCCCTCCCTCTCTCTCTCTCTCTCGCTCTCTTTCCGCTTGTTTGTTTCCTTCGCTACTTTAACTACAGTTGACAGTAGTTCTAGCAGCTGCTAAAGCCTTACTTGCACAACTCAAATCTGACCTTTATTCCCAAAACAATGATCCCAAGCTACCTATTTGTACATCAATCACCTGGCCGCGGCTTAGCTTAGCCATCGGTCACTGGAGAAGCTCCATCCGGACGGCTTTCCAAACGTGGCTGTGGGTCATGACACCCGTTTCGCGAACGAAAACCCTGGTAGGTTGCCCTCGGACTTGCAGTCGATTCCGTTCATCTTCGGTCCCCGAGTGCCACCCACCGCCACGTGCGAAATGCAAGGCACTGCCAAGTGCAGTGCCTGCATTGAGGCGGGTCTAGACTCGCGCTCCAGGAGTGGCTCCTAGCACATTCGCCGCACCAACTCATTGTGGCTTCGTTGGGGTATGTTGGGGTCCTCCCAAAGGTCTTCAAAACTGAACATGCGAAGTGACATGTGTCCAACTTGTCCTCCTGTTCTTCATCTGTTAGCTGAGCCACCTCCAGCCTCCGGCTAAACCTCAGCTCTTTCGTCATCAAGGCTGCGAAATGAACTGATGTTGTGAGCCATGAGGACGTAGGAGAGGCGTCCATTGAGAGCGTCTAACAAGGCCAAGAGGCATGGCTGCAGCCGCTTCCATGTTCAAAGCCGCGCGCTTGAGCTGTTGGTCTTTTTTCAAGGATGTTTGATGCTCTCATAGCTGGTTGCATCTTCCCTCAGGGTCTGGCCCAGAAGACAAAAGCTAGACCTCTCGGTCGTACTATTGCGAGTTCACGAAGGGGGAAAGACTAATGGTCCAAGGATGATGAATCACAAATCAACATCAACTTGGACGGGAAGAAGTCGCCTGTGCATGCCTATGCAGGCGAAACCCTAGAAAAAAGAAAACGACTGTGCCGTGCTGTTCTGGTGAAGTGACCCAGATCTAATCAGAGCGGACATGAGGCATAAGGACATGGGATGTCAGTGGGACATGGGTCGTCATGAGTTGTATTTGAGAGCAAACCTGAGAGCATCAATTTAAGTGTACAGAAGAATCGTTCAGCATGTGCTGACGCATGACACCAAATCAACAGCGGTAAAGCACCTGCCTGACCTTAGCAAGTATCATGGCAGCATGAACCCAAGACACTCAAAAGTGGTAGCATGGGCTCTAGTCTCCTTTCGGTCTGGAGCTTGCAACACAAGGGCCGAAGTCGATCACGCCAAGAGCACGGGCAAATGAAAGCGCAAATCCTGTACATGCTCTCGAGGCGCAGAATTTGAGGCCGGCGGCCACATGTTGATGCTTTTGGGTTGATCATGTTGATCTTACCTTGGCAATTGCCACTATCTGGCATGCCAAGGCCGCTCAAAATTTGGCTTCGGACTACACGCTGAAGCTGTTCAAACATGACCCGCCAATTCCATGCAGCTTTTTGGAGCTCGTCCACGCTGGCCCTCAAGTCAAGCGGATCAAGGATGAGGCAGTGGCGTCCAGCATTCCCTGCACCAGTGGGAAAAATTGGCACAGCTTTCAGTGCAACTCACCAGCTCAAGCATGGAGAAAGTCAGCACACGATTCATCTTTCCAAATGTGAAGCCTAATCAAAACTTGAGAGAGGAGGGGGTGAACGAAAGGTAGCAGGGAATCAGAAGTAAGCCTCCAAACGCTGAAAAAAACCTGAGCCACAAAAAACATGTATATAAATAGCGTGGTTTGAGGCCACTCTTGAAGACTGGAGGAGCTGAAAACACTTGTATTTACGGTGTTTTGTGGCCACTTTGAAGCGTACATAGCTTAAAACCATCGCAATTTATAGGGTTTTGTGCCGGGAAGGCGCACAAACCCGTGTAAATACCGTCGTTGTCTGCCATTTTGAAGCCTCCAAACGCCGAAAAAAAACCTTTCCGACAAGATCTTTCCAGGTTGTTGGCAAATTTTCGACCATGTTTGAAGCCTAAACACTTCAAAAACCATCGTTTTTTACGATGTTTTTGGCCGGACAGCCACAGAAAACCCTGTATATAAATTGCGTGGTTTGAGGCCACTCTTGCAGACTGGAGGAGCTGAAAACACCGGTATTTACGGTGTTTTGTAGCTGTTGACAAAGACCATCAAAGACCCGTGCCAGGGTGGAGTTGAAAGGGGTGGGAAATGGTAAAATGATGGTTCAGAGTTTTTGTTCATCAACCACCTCGTTGATTTTTCTTGGCTCTTGAAAATTTGTGTTGAGCCTTTGTCGTTTTTCTGGGGTCTTGTTTTGCGTGTTTTAGGGTCATAACTTTCACTGTCATTGCTATAATTCAACGAGGTGGATGATTGTTTAGGTTGTTGTGTTTCGTTTTGTGGTGTCTTTTGGGGGGGGGTTCGGGTTTATATTCCCATAATGCCAGTTTCATCATCCTCTCCATTTCTTATAACTTTTGGCTGTTCTTTTCCTGTTAGTTTGTTTTGATGTTTGATGCTTTCCTTGTGTCGTTTGACTTGATATTTGTTTATGATGCTTTCGCACACCGGACGGACTAATGGTTGTTCATTTTTACGATAATAGTATTGTCTGGCATACTCTCTTAATTTATCTTGGTTTTTCTCTCTGTATCGTTGCTTTGCTTCCACCAAAACTTGCCAGAACCCCCATTTTACCATTTTTTTGGGCCCCCCTCCGCGGCCACTAAAATGAAATGTCGGAGGCGATTCTCAGTGAGATGGGCCTCTACTCTGGTTATAATTCATTTTTGCTAAAGCAAAAGGAAAACTCAGGTAGCGTATCCGCTACCTTTCGTGACTGGTGAACCTGTTTGCCTGCTTAATGGCTTTCACTCCGGAAGTTCCGCAAATGTATACCACTGTGAGATCACCAAGGCACCCTTGAACAATCTGCTTAACAGCATGTATCTGCCGCTGCACCGCCTGCAAAAGGAGTCGCCAAGTTGTGGCCCCTGTGCCTTTTGAAGTGCGCCTAGGGACCACAACTAGTCTTACAGGTACCTCGAAATGAACATCAAACAAAAGCCACGCGGATGTGATCAACTGTAAGCAGCACATTCTATCCTGTCTGCAGCCGAAGTCTCACGAGGTATCTTCTCACCTGATCAACCCACAATACACAACTGCAAACAGTGGGACATGGAATTTGGGTCCCCATGCAGTGGCCAAGTGAAAGCGCCGGAGCTCACACATCGCTTCAACACTCTCGTTGTATGCCTTCAAACGGTGCTTCTCAAGTGCATCAACGACGAGGACAAGGACAACGCCGACGACCACAGCCGTGTCAAGGAGTCAAGCCAGAAATTTGACAATGTGTTTGAAGTGATTCGTGTGCAAATTGATGTAAATTGCAAAGGCTGCTGGCAAGGCCAAAGACAAACACTACTTGTGGAAGTGTCAACCTCTGATCTGGGACTGTCGAAAGAATACCCAAAGGCCTCCTGCAGTTGTTTTCCGGCAGCGCCCTGACAATTGACTCTCACGGTCGGACCCACAAAGAATTACTGCTGTTGTTGTCGGAAAAATCGTTGTTGTTGTTGTTGCATGTTACGCTGGTAGTAACTCAGTGCAGGTGGCCTGGTTCACAGTGCAAGTCTCAAACAGTGTCGGTCAAGCCCATCAAACTTTTAGACGCTTGAAGGTTGGAAGAAGGGCTGTTGGCCCAAGTAGCTGGACTTGTTTCATGTAAGCCTAGGTTGCTCCGTGTGTCCTGTTTTTTGCGGTGTTTTGGGGAGGTGTCAAACAACAAGGCTCCAGTCTAAAAAAACAATACCGGCGGGGCCGGGAAGGTTGCAAAAACCACAGCCGCGCCAAAGTCCCGCATGTATTCCTGCACAATCTAACACATGCAGGACGCCGAGGTGTTGAAGTCATTCATGACGAGACACGAGTGCTAAAACCACAGGGTTGTTGTCGTTATTGTTCTTGCTGTCAGGCAGCGCGACCCACTTCAGGAGCAGGTGTTGTCGTTGTCGTTCTTGCTGTCGTTGTGGTCGTGGTTGTGGTTGTGGTTGCTGTTCTTGTTCTTGTTGGTGTTGTTGTTGTTGTTGCTGGTTTGTCGTTTATTGTTGTCTGTTGTTGCTTGTTGGTGTCGATATTGTTGTAGTAGTAGTTGTTGTTGTTGTGGTGGTGGTTGCTTTGTTGTTGTTGTTGTGGTGGTGGTTCTTGTGATTGTTTTTGTGTTTGTTTTTGTTGTTGTTGTTGTTGTTGCTGTTGCTGTTGCTGTTGCTGTTGTTGTTGTTGTTGTTGTTGTTGTTGTTGTTGTTGTTGTTGTTTGTGGTTCTTGTTTTTGTTCTTGTTCTTGCTGTTGTTGTTCTTGTTCTTGTTCTTGCTGTCGTTGTTCTTGTTATTGTTTTTTTTGTTGTTGCTGCTGTTGTTGTTGTGGTGGTGGTGATTGGGTCTGGCAAATGTAGCGCTGGGGGGATTTCAAGCAAAGCTGGTCATTGAGTTCCGACTGTGCATCCCCGAGCCTGGCTCTTCTTCACAAAATCTGGTATGCTTCCCACCTCTCGCAAGCGGGCAC